TTACGAGCATAGTTGAGGTAAAATTTTCGGCAAATGTCCGAAGAATAGAATTAATTCATATAGCGTACAATAATAAAAATCGCATAATCGATCGCATAATTTTAAATTTATTTCGCATCCATCGCATAATCAACCTCAGTTCGCCCGCATAATTTACCTCATCGCATCGCATAATCCTGGACACCCTACTTTACTGTTACATAATGATAATGTTATAAAACCCCTGCTACACGTGAGTGAGATGTTTTAGCAGGCTTGTGCACCAATCGTGAACTCTTCTCCCTTTATAAAGTGTCGGCACTTGTATCATAATAGCATACAATGACATAAGTGTCCTAAACATGTCTAAACAAACCAGTCGTCAAACCATAACGATAACGATAACAATAATAATACTGTATGATGTAATATAACAATTATTTTAACAACCAATCACAGATCAAGTTGATATCTAATCATGCGAGCACTGATAGATCGGCAAGTCACATCTCTTTATAGAACTGGGTCACGTCAAACATTTCTGGCGATCGGTTTACACCCTTCTAATATTAAACTGAATTCTGTTCGATTTATTAGTTAACTTTCATTTGTGCCTTACCAAATTTTTCTGTACTTTTCAAGTAGGCAACCTACTTTCAATATTCGATCTTAATATATCTTAATATTCGATCTCAAAACAATTGCATCTATTACTATTACTAACAAGAACTACTACTCTACTTAGAACAAATGGCGTACTAAGAAATTATTTTCGTCTGTCGAAATTATTATTGACTGTCGAACTGTCAAAAATATTAGAGACTGGCGAAATGATTTATGGCAGTCGTGACTAGGGTCGTGAAATGTAAAATTCAGAAAGAAATGAACGAACACAAAAGACAAGCAAGGGTCCATAGAAGGACATCGGATAACTTATTTTTGATAACGTGACGTTTCATTAATAAAAAATACAATCTTTTTTTACCGTTATCTTCGCAAGAGCGTGAATATTCACGGTACAAAATAATAGAGAAAATATCGAGAACCTCTCTTGGAAAACAAAATATGCCTACCGTTTATTGGATCATATAAATTATACTGTAACTTTGTTTAAGGCTATTTTATTACGTTAAATTTTTATTGCTAAACTGTTTAATTTGAATGGGTACAAGATCTTTAGTAATAGAAGATCTGGGTTCCTGTAATGTGTTTGGGTTTGTCAATTGTAAAAGTTCTTTAATGAGTTTGGGTTTATTAGTAATAAATATAACATTTACCTACTTTACGCGTGTCTATCTATTCTCTAGATATATATGATAAATTCTTTAGTGTACATTCATCAGTTTATAAACTTCTTTAGATCTGATATGAAGTTCTCTAGTAGCATACGATAAATTTTAAAAATTATGTATTTTGATTGGTTAATGACCACGGGAAATCAAAAATCAACTTTTTTTTTAATTCTGTAATTACGTAAAAATCTTAAACTTTTTAAAATAATCTAAAAAAAGTTTTTTTGTAATAGTTTTTTTGTTTAAACTATTAAATCTACAAAAAAATTATTTAAATATCTTTTAAAGATTTATATTACTTAAAAGTTATACGTATATAGTTTAAAATTTTGGCGCTTATATAACAAAATTTAAATTTATTAATAAAAATTTAAATTTTATTAATAAAATTTAAGGTTGTATTAAGTTTGTCTGCATTTTTATTGGTTAATTATGTTACACAACAGCTAACCTATATATAAAATATGTTGGCATTAACGTTAAGTGGCACGTATCCACCGTACATATTTTCGATATACAGAAATATTTTCGGGATTTTCGACATACTAAATATACTAAATTATTTGCGATTTTGACCTGTCAAAATTTATTTTCGCCATTTAAATTTACGCCAAGAGCAAAATATTTTCGACACCCATGTGTACACCCACCAAAGAGTCTAAAAAATTTTTATTGTCACAATCCTCTTCTAAATCTCTTTCTTCACTTTTGGAACTGCAATCACACCATTCAACCTCTTCTCAACAACTTTCTGCCAATAATAATGAAAAGAAAAAAGATCGAAAATCTCTTCGTAGTCATACGATTCCCAAAATAGAAGTTAAAGAGACAAATACCATGCTTAAAGACTATGATCCTACCACTGGTAATAAGATGATTAACAAATATATGTTAATTAAAGAATTAGGCAGGGGTGTACATGGAAAAGTTAAATTAGGAAAAGACATGGAGTTGGGAGAGTGGGTTGTGAGTATAATTATGTTATACTTAATTATAAATTAGATATTTTTACTTATTCATTCTTCTTCCCGTATTATCATGCATTAAACGAAGGCCATCAAAATTGTTGATAGAGTAACACGTCGTCGTTTGGGCTCACGGAACAATGATCTCACTAATGAACAAAAAATTAGAAAAGAAATTGCAATACTAAAAAAATGTGTCCACCCACATGTTGTTAGGTTGAAAGAAGTTATTGATGATCCAATGAGTAGGAAAATTTATATGGGTATGTTTATTTATCGTCTTGAAGCACTTTCGTGAAGGAATTCATAGTGGTTTGTAGTAAAACTTTGGGATCGTTGACATGCGTTTATCACATCCTTTCAATTCATAAATATTTGCTTTTTT